GGGAAAGGAAAAACAAACCTGAATCTTCTCCACTGCACATTCAGAATCCTTTTGAAACTTCACTCAACATCAGCAAAAATGTAAGTCAGAGCCAGCTGCAAAAATTTGTAGATCTGGCCAGAGAAAGTGCCTGGATTTTAGATCAGGAAGATAAAGATCACCCTTCAAGTAATCAGCTGTGGGGACTGGCAACTCTGCTGCTACCTTCTGTAGCAAAGAGTATGTCTCATACCAAGAAGAAAAAGAAGCCTGCAAGTGAAAGAATTAAAAACTTGTTGGAATCCATAAGAAGTAGCAGTACAGAAAATTCCAAAAACACCGTTGGGAAAAGAACAGTGAATACTCAGGCGTAATGTACTTTGCTTTAAGAGCTGATTTTATCCTATAAAATGATCTTTGGACGACCTGGAAGAACTGATGTGGGACTTTCACACATCTCAGCTTTGATCTGATGTCTCTTTTCACGATCTTCGGTCTTCTCACTGGGCCCTTTACCTGGTTTGAAGTTCTGGGACGTCTTCAGGCTGATCAGTCTGCTACCCAGTGACATCTTATTAAAACAGCAGCCACAAGGAACAGGTGAAAGAAGATTGGACTATACTTTAAATAGAAAAACTCTACAAAGTGAATGGTAAAAAGCAGTTTTAAAATCACACCATTGTCGATATCCATGTTAGTTCCTGGGTATGTCAATGAATACAATAAAGCTTCAAATTTTGGTAGTACTCTTTAGTGTGTATTTTTGTATTCTTTAAGCAAAGTGCTCGTATTTACATATAAATTAAAACAGGTTGGTAATGATTTCAATGAATCTTTGTGTTTTTAAAAGATGTGAATGCAGATACTTCAGTCACTACATTCTAGGTATTCTAAACCATACGGTACATTTTAAATATTATTTTAAATATTATTTAGTTAACTTTACTATTTAAAAAAAATAAAACCCTATTTCTGTTAATACGTGTTATTCACAGTAGTCCTTCACTCCTCTTTCAAGAACTCCTTTCTCCCTGTAGGAAATAGATACGTATTGAAATATAATTTCATTAAATTCCCTGTGGGGTAACTTCCAGTTAAAGAGGCAAAAAGCTTAGTGTTTGAAAACACAGACTTGAGCCAGACTGGCTTCAGGCAAATTACTCAGTCTCTCTGGTCCCCAGTTGTTTCACCTGTAATGCCTGTTTCACAGGTTGTTGTGAAGATTGAGATAAACAGGTGAGTGCTACATCAAGAGCCTGACACATGATGCATGTTACTTTTCTTTAGCTATTAATTTTTTTGTGTATATGGTATATGATTATTAATTGTTGCTCAAAATTCAGATTTAGAGTATGTAATGGTTTTCAAAATAGTTTCCCATATAAATTTTAGGGCAGAAACTGGAATGAGCTCTGCTTCAGATATTTTGGGAAGCTCACCAATAGAATTGTAAAGCAAGTAAGTTCTGTGCACAACCAACATCTGAAACCAACAAAAGGTAGCAGTATTCTTTTATACAGTGTTTTAATTTAACAGCCATTTCTCATTTGTTGTTTAATTTGGATTCTGTTGGGCTAGATATCTGTATAAAGAAAAAGTTTTAAAAAGTATAAATATTTAAGAGTTTCTAAATGGGATGATTTTTTTCTGTTTATTATTTGGACATTTTCTCTTTTAGAGGTATTAAGTCTAAAATGGTCATATAAGTACATAAAGTAGTATATGTGTTAGCATTTTTTCTTTTTTTTTTTTTTTTTGTAATTTACAAGGCAACTTTGACACCATAGGTCTGTTTCACTTTTCAGAATGAGATTTAATTGTGATAAATTTTAATCTACAACGGTCTTTTAATACAAAGTTTTAATTTTAGTTAACTGAATATGGACTACAAACTAATGTTTTCTCATAAGTTTATTTTATCACATTCTAAAATTTTAAAAGATAGTTTTTATTACATCTTACGGATAATCACTAATTTCTTGTCGTTGCCATTTCTTAAACTAATAGCAACAGTAAAATAAGGAAAAATTTTCAAAGTTTTTCTTTTCTAGCTATTAATAGATTTCCATTAGCTTTCACCTACAATGAGTTTTATTCAGTGTGTTAAAGTAATTTTGATATGAACCTACCTAGGTTAGGTTGATTTCAGTTACATATCATTCTAGATTTTATACCCACAGTTATAATTCCTGGAGTTATTACCTATCTTTAGGAATTGGCCAGTGTATAATCCGTCTCATTCACAAACCTTTAATGATCATAGAGGAAAAGAGAGAATAAAGACAGTTGAAATAAGACTTTCTTCCTGCTGCCATTTCCTACTTGCCTTTTCCTTTTGCTCTGGGACTATAGATGAGAACAGAATTCAATGATTTCGTGTTCTTAGAAATTCCTTGGCTTTAAAATTAGTTTTACTTAGTTTCTTACAGCCTACTGGTTCCATAATAGGGAATAGCTACATTTGCATGTATAATTTAAGCCAACCCCGTGAACATCTGCAGCAAACCCAGCAGAAAGAGCAATCAGAAAGAGCCATGGCAGCTGGTCAAGGTAGCAACTCTCCACTTTGCAGAGTTCAGAATTCAGTTGGTGAATACCTGTCATTGTGTTTCTATTCGGTTCCTTCAGGAAATATTGTAGGTGTGGCACATTCAAAATACTGTAGAAATGAAGAAAGCATTTCTCCCTGAGATGATCAGAAAAGGCTTCATTGAATAGAGTAGGGTAGGTCTTGGAAGGGGTGGTAGGTAGACAGAGGGCGAGGCACAGGGATTATCGTCTGGGAAAAGAGGACAGTTTTTTCTATGAGTCTAGAGAACTGGCAGTTTAGACAGGCCAGGACACAATTTTTTCTGTGATGCTCGAGGCAAGGTTGTGAAGGGCTGTGACAAGATGGTGAAGAACTGCCAGTGGCAAGTTAGTGAGGTTGAGAATATTTTCAGTGGTAAACTATTGAAGGTGTTTGTGTAAGAGAATAGTGACAAACAGTGCTTTCAGATGATTAACCTACTGATACCAAGCAGTTATAGACCACTGCTCTTTTTTTTTTCCCAGAATTGAGTACATAGGGCTCATCAAATTAGATAAAATTTGGCTGTTAAATTTTCCATAAAGGTCCAGAAGCTGACTCTCATATAACCCAGAAGAATCTTAATATTTAATAAGGAAGTAAAGTTTAAGTAGTTTAAAGCTATCATCAGGAAATTTGACATAATTTTATGTAAAATGTTATTAATGAGAAATTCTGTGTAATATATATTTGAAGAGGAATGAAAACATAACCAGAAATCACGTTTCACCTTGGGATAATGTTGGGAAATTTATACATGAAAGGGTTATTTTGGTTTTCATGCTGAGTTCAATTACTTGTGGATACATATTCCAAAAAATACAAACATTACTGCGTTCTTCTGGAGTTTCCATGGAGCAACTCCCAGAAAATGTCTATTTTAGATAGAATCTTTAATCTGAAGTATCTATAATACTGAACATATAAAATCGCAAGTTATTAAAAAATATACTATTCGTATTTTAAATGTGATTTCTCTGTTATCTGTGTGTACGTATATCCACCCACCTTTAGAACTCAGTGAAGTAAAAAGCTAGATTAAAGGCACTATTCACTTTTTCTGTCTATTCTTAGATGAATACTTTTAAACATTTTTTTCAGGGCACAGTTTCTAACCTCTTAGAATGTGGTGCTGCGACATTTTAAAGAGAGCATTAGAAAGAGAACTTGAGGAAATAAATGTTACACTATGAAGAATACATAGTATTACCTAACTTGTAATACTATTAGTAATTAGTAATACCTAATTCGAAACAGGACAAACCTAAGTGAAAAATATAAATTATAGAACATTATTTTTTTTCTGGGTTTATTGCGAAATATGGCACATTAAAAACTTACTATAATGGATGTTGTCAAATAAAACAGCAAATTAATGAAAAGATTATAGATTATGTCTATATTACATTCTGCATTATCAAAATTCTTTAACATGTTAAACTTGTTAGATACAGTAAGTTATATTTTTGAAGATTTTTCTATTAACAGTTATTGGTACTTGGCTTAAATTAATGCAGCTTAACAATTAGGGTTTTAATTAATATTTGCTAAGTTAACACATGGGCTTGGACAGTGGTGTAGAATAGCATATTGGCATGTTCTCTCCTTAAAAACTGTCTCAAAAATAGTAAAAGGTGGATTATGAAGCTGGCTGATGTCTTGCAATGGAATTTGAAACCAAAGCTTGATTTTTTTTTTTTTTTACTCCATCTAAAATGTGTTTTGTAATTCTATAAATATACACATCAATAGAAAACTAGTACAAACTTCACTTTCTTTTTCTTCTTTGGCAATTAATTTTGGTGTTTAGGACCATTTGGTGATTTAGAACCCACCATTCTCTAATTGAACCTACAGTAAGCATTTTTGGAGTCTCTGTGCTTGATTTTTTGGCATTACTGGTTATACATTTCAGTTAGTATTGAGTGGTTTCTTTCAGCTTTATATAATTGAGTTTTTTTAAAAAAGAACCATAACACCTTTTGCATATTTTTATATTTGATTTACCTTTTTTTCTTTTTTAAAGAAGTAACTAAAAGTAATGGCAGTTGCACTTCATTTATCTGTTGTAGAGTGGTAAGCTAAATTCAAATAAACACATTTTTCAGATAACATTGACTCCATAGTTTTGTCATCACCTTTGGGCATACGACTATAAATCATTATCTTAGTCTCACCCTCTAGAACTGCATCCTTATTGTGCACTGGACTTTGTGATTTAACTAGCATTGTTTACCCCCAATTCAACCATGTTAAATTTATTTTCTTTCCTAAAATTGGCCAACCTCATAATTTGCCTATTGCATTGTTTTCTGCTCAAATTCTGGGGTCCTTTTAGACTCCTTTTCCCCCCTCATTTAATGTATCTTTTTCTGTTTCCATCGCCATTAGCTTAGTTCATGTCTATTATTTCTTTCTTTATTAAACACAATACTAATGTATTAGCTCATTTCCCAGCCTCATGGTTTCTCTCCTCTATGTACTCATTTAAACCAATAATTTTCTAAGGAATAAGACTCGAGAAAGTAGATTTTAAATATTAAAAGTAGGTTTTAATATTAAATTGTTTGTTTATTGTAATTCTTAAGATATCTTGGAACTGTCAAGAGCCTTAAGGTCATTCTAAATATCAAAACATTTTTGTGCAGGCATACAAAATAGATACGGATTAAAGGTTTTAATTAGTTGAAAAGCACAGGATTTTTTTTTGTAACTTCCAAAAGGTATTCTGTTTATAACTCTACTGACTTCTTAACATTTTTAAACTTCTCTAATATGATATTTAATCCAAAAATATTGTTGCAGTGGAGTCATTCATTCAGTAAACTTATACCCATGCTTACTATATGCACCAGACACCATAAATCAAGACACACGACTTACTAAGAGATAGGAAAGGTTCGAATTGCTGGAATACTGATTTTTATTCTTAAATAGAAAAGTATAAGGGTAACAGTTCTGCGTAAGACAAAAGTAATTAAAACAGAACTTTAGGCTTGGTCAATGAAACATCCAGAAATATGCTCAGAATATATGTGGAAATTTGGTAATATGCTAAAGGGCAGCATTTTAAATCAATAGGAAGATGGATTATTCAATAAGTTGTGTTTGAACAACTGGTAGCTATTGGAAAAATGTAGTTTGATCTCATTGTCATTCTTACACCTAAATAAATTC